CCCCAAAACCCCAAAACCCCAAAACCCCTCATCATTGAAATAAATGCGTCATAGATTATTATTATTATAATAATCGAATAAACACAAGCGAAAAAATGTCATTTCTAGGTTCTTCACCTTATTCATCAATGAATAACTCTAATATGGGCAACAGCTATGGTGGATTTGGAGGTAGCTATGGGGGTATGAATTCAATGTATGGAAACAACATGGGAGGAATGATGAATAATATGAATCCTGAACAAATGCAACAGTAAAATGGGCCAAACCCTAATGGTCAGCAGTAGCAAGAGTATCAATTCGATTTAAGAAGAGATATGAGGGATACCATTGGTACGATTTATTTTTGTATTACTAAATTTATTAGGTGGTCTAAATGCATCTCTTGGTTTAGCTTATGGTGTGAGTTAGATGGCTAATCTTGGAACTATTGGAATCAAATAGTAAGTGTTTAATGTTTTTATAAATTTTGCTATAGCTTATTCAAAGCCTTGAAGTGGCTATTCAAGAAGGTGTTTAACACTAATAACATAATTGCTCCAATCAAGTTCTTATTAAAGTTAATCTTGGGAAGAGATATTTTTAGAGGAAGCAGATAAGCTTAGATGCAAGTTTAATCACTCGATTACTTAGAGAAGATTTGGCAGACAACTAATAATCAGCAATAAAACCCAAACCCACGAGATCCATTACTTCCAAGAAAAATATTTGGCATGTCAATTAACTTGGTGAAATCTCTAGTTTTAGCTCTAGTTGGAGTTGGTATTTAACTGGTTCTGTTCCTAATGAAAAGAGGAAAGGCAAGGAGACTTGAAGAGATAGAGAAACAAGAGGTAGAAGAACGTAAAAGATAATTAGAATAAGAATGGTTGGCTGCTCAGGAAGAGTCAGATCCAGAGCTTGTCATTCTCAGAGGTCTTGAAGAATCTAAGATTGCAATGAACTTTGACAATAGCATATAAGCCTATGATGGAGAACTTACCTCGATGACATTTAATCATGTGAAAAGTAGTAAAGCCTTTAAGAATAAGATAGACATTGTGGATGAAAGTGATCTCTCATGGCTTGGTACAACTGCTAGTAGTTCAATAAATATTAGTGACATTGATCAATAGAGTTTGCTAAAATCTGAAGATGGTTGGTAAAAAAGAAGAGCTATTAGTAATGCTAAAAAAGTTGAATTTAGTTCAATAAGCAACTAGCAGCAATGAAATAGCTGGTTAAAGTGAAGAAACCCTTACTTAAAAGATCCCAACTCTGTAAATATAAATCTTAAAGATTATGCCTATGATATCATTGTTTAATTATTTAAAGTTATCCTCTCGGAACTCTATTAAATTTACCTTATTGGGGTTTTGGGGTTTTGGGGAGATCGGAAGAGCGTCGTGTA